TCAACCCTGTCGACACACTCCACCTCTACAGACGTCGCATGTTATCCCTTTACGAGGAAGTCCGCTCAATGCTTTTTTATTCGGAGGCGTCCAAGGCCACCCTTCTGACAAGAGCTCCCTCTTCCTACCCAGCAGTGCCCATGTCCTCCAGCACGCACGACCCCAGCTGCTCCCCTCCTCCCCGACCCATCCCTGACCAACCCAGCCCCTCACATCCTCGGCTGACCCAGCCGCCTCCCCCCCCCCCCTCAGGCTGACCCAGCCGGCTGCGCTGCCGCCTGCGCCCACCTGTGACGGTGGAGCCCGGCAGCAGTGAAGCGTGGGCAACCGCCTGGTACTGACGCGCCGCCGGCTGCTGGCCTGCTGCCGCAGCCGCTGCTTGCGGAGGTGCTGCGCCTGATGGTGGGCGGCCATCTGCTGGTGGTACATGATCTGCTCGGCGTCAGGCCGGTCGGGTGGCCGTAGGCCGGGTCCTGAGCGCTGGGTCAGCCGGCGGCGGCGCTCCGTGTGGCGCCGCCGGTCGCGGTACGCCCGGCGCCGGCGCGGGTAGCCGCCGGCTGCGGCGCGGCCGCCCTCTCGCGCCGTCTTATCCTCGGGCCGCCGCCCTGGCCGCCCAAGACCTGCCGATGAAGAAGGGGGGGGGGGGACGTCAGGGGAAGACGAACAGCGGCTCGATCAGGCGCGCGTGGAAACTGATGGAAAGGCGGGAGGCAGGGACGAGGTGAGGCGCCGCGTCGTGAATATTGTGACCACGTGCGTGGGAGGTCACGGTTCAGTCGCTGAAGTGTGACACAATGGAATGCCAGCGGTGTCCCCATGGCTAAACACCGGAGGGTTGTTCATGAGTAGAAGTCAAAAGGGGACCACTGTGACCTGACAGTAGAAGCAGGAACGAAAGTTATGCGTGGTTAATCAGCCTCACTGACTAGGTATTTTGAATAATTCTCATGAGATGTTGAATAAATGAGATTATTTGTACTGCATGGATGAGAACCCGTTGCGGATCGTTTTCAAAACTTCGAAAGTTTGACATTTTTATCGTACAGGTTATGTATTGTCACCACTGTTTAGATGTACTTTTTGCTTATCATGTCGCATAGCAGAGGTAGTCATGTTATATGGTCATTTCATAGTCTGCTATTTTGGCATTATCTATGTACAAAGCCAAGGCCAGACTTCGATCCAAGATCTAATCAAGAATGGGTTGAAGTTCCTGGGTATGAGATATAAAGGAAATAAAACACACATGGGACAACTTGAGCACCTCTAGTTTTAAAAAAACCGCGGGACCATTGCCCCCAAATCCCGTATTAAGTTAACGAGAGCTTCGTATTCTGTCCGACCCAAGTTATTATAACCGAAAGGAAGGGCAAACTCTGGAAGCAAAAGACCAATAGACTCTGGTGGGGCGGTTCGCAAACTCTTCGAGAAGTAAACAGCAGTCGGAAGGTTCTTTTGGACCTCCCTCCCCGTCACGGCCAGCCGTGCCAAAGACCGGCGGCACCCCCGCTGACAACAGCGCCGTCCGATCCAGCGCCGTCTGCCCGCCTCCTGCCCCGGCCCGTTCTGCCCGATCCAGCGCCGTCCGCCAACCCTCCTGCCCCGGCCTGTTCTGCCCGATCCAGCGCCGTCCGCCAGCCCCCTGCCCAGCCTGTCTTGTCCGATCCAACGCCGTTCGTCCGCTACCTGCCCCAGCCTGTCCTGCCCGATCCAGCGCCGTCCGCCAGCCCCCTGCCCAGCCTGTCTTGTCCGATCCAACGCCGTTCGTCCGCTACCTGCCCCAGCCTGTCCTGCCCGATCCAGCGCCGTCCGCCAGCCCCTGCCCAGCCTGTCTTACCCGATCCAGCGCCGTCCGTCCGCTCCCTGCCCAGCCTGTCCTGCCCGATCCAGCGCCGTCCGCCCGCCCCCTGTCCTGGCCTGTCTTGCCCGATCCAACGCCGTCCGCCGGCCCACGTCGGCCGACCCGACACCGTCCCACCCAGCGACAGCGGACGGAGGCCCCACTGGCATAATAGGACCGTCCGCAATCGATAGCCAGTTGCAGTCGGGTTGGCGAGAGGTGAGCCCCATTTCCAAGCCAAAGAGAGAGAGGAGAGGAGCGGAGAGGAAGAGGGAGAACGAAAAAAGAGAGAGAGGAGAGAGAGAGAGAGAGAGAGAGAGAGAGAGAAGAGAGAGAGAGAGAGAGAGAGAGAGAGAGAGAGAGAGAGAGATAGAGAGAGAGAGAGAAGAGAGAGAGAGAGAGAGAGAGGAGAGAGAGGAGAGAGAGAGAGAGAGAGAGAGAGAGAGAGAGAGAGAGAGAGAGAGAGAGAGAGAGGAGAGAGAAATGGAGTGGATGACTCGTATTTAAAGGCAGCTGTCTGACAGCAAAACTGACAACTCTGCCCAACACCGCTTTCCACCCGACGGGTTTGTCTGCAGCCCTGGCAGAAAGGACGGGGTGGTTGACATGCATCCCGACATAAGTCAGTGGTGTGCGGAATGATGGGTGACGGGAGGGCCTTGCCACAGCCGGGTGCTAATTGATGAGTGTCGTTACCAGCAGGAGGTGGCGGCGGACACGACACCAGCAGCGTCTGCTGGCGATCGAAGATGCATCGGATGCAGGGCCCTGCCTCCCAGCGCTAAATGGCGTCAGAGACACTCGACGAACGCCGGTAAGAGGCGGGGGGGGGGGGGGGGGGTCGCACGGTGGCAAGTGTCGATTTCTGACCCACCAAGCATCATCAACACGCGTCCACTCCTCAGACCTCTCCATACGAACCCCAGCAATGTCGCTGTTACGCCACGCGTGTTTCGCGGTCGTGCCCTGTGCCCTCCGACTAAGCTCAGCAATAACTCGTGAGTGGCGAGCCTCGGCAGGACCGGCGGCGGCCACGGCCCGCAGGCCCGGCCAGCTGCTGACCCGAAGCGGGCGGCGATTGGACCGCGGCCCACTGACGGTCCCAGCATCGACCGACGCCGACGGCGCGTAGAGACGGCGACGGGGCCGGCCGGGCAGACCGGGCCGGGCCGCCGACCGGCCTCAGCTCGGGCGGGACGACAGCCGACCAGATGGAGGAGGGCGGGGCCCCGACAGATTACACAGCGCCGCCTGCGTCGGTCGGCAGGCCGCAAATGACAGGAGTAATTGTTAGGTAAGGGTGAGTAGGGTACTGCATTTTTGTAGAAATAGCATAACGTCTTTGTCCACTTTCTGTAAGGAAAATGAACAAGTTCATTCAAAGTTCAAAGCGTCTTTCACCTTGGCGGTGAACGCGGTGTCAGTGCCCTCATATGTTCGCCAGGCGTAAAGGCTGACAATTTGTCGTTGATCATCCAATGCCCTCCAACCTTCCCTGCATGCTTTTCCTTCATGGCACCTCACGGATCCTCTATGGTCCGCAGCTGGGGGCCGTTATGGGCTTTCATTCTTCTTTGTGTGTGGTATTGTGGCTCATCTAGCAGATACGAGTAAGGGAGTGGTATAACAGCATGCATTCAGGCCTGGCCAAACCATAACGTCTCTAGTGGGGATTTATAATCAATAATGATAATACCGCCTGCAGGCTCCTTTCCAGGTGTGTTTACTATGTGGCATTATCGGTGCCTTACGTAAACACCGGTTTGAATACGTCCCCTGGTGAGCTGGAAAGTCATATCGGGATCTTCTAGAGAACTTGTTCCGTGGCCGTGACCGACTTTGACTTGATGCACCACCCCTCTTGATGCACCACCCCGTCATCACAGGACACAACGCTCCCAGACATCACTTAACAGCACCGCCCCATCATTACAGGGCACGGCGTTCCAAGACATTCATAACGGCAGCACCCCATCATTACGGGACACAACATTCCCAGACAATCCCAGACGTTTCTTTCCGAGTAAAATGCGTCCTGTCGTCCAATATAAACTATAGCGATTCCAAGACAGGTACGGTTTTTCCTTACGGTCACCACGGGTGTTTGCTATCGTATGTTACGCGCAAGTAATTTGACTGCAAGGATTTTCCACACATAATGCCCACTTACCCTGAATGTTTTCAAAAGAACCCTTTGAAATCACGTTGTCGCCGTCGTCCCCACGTCGGCTTTGCAGAATGTAATAGCATTTTATTCATTTCAAGGTTTTTCAACCCCGTCCTGAGTGTTTCGGGGCACGGCGCCCTTAAGAGCGCTTTAGCATTTCCGTAAATGCACTGCCAGAAATGTCCATTAACGCGAAGTGCTTGGCACAAAATGCCTTGGGTCTATCATGCTTAATTCGCATAAAATCCGAGAAGACTTCCTGTACTGTCATCGTTGCAAAGCGCTATTTCGTGGGTATTGTAACTTATTGTGATAGTTTGTGCCGCGGATATGAGCAGGCCATTACTGTGAACCGAAATGCCGTCAAAGACAGCACTTTAGTATGAATTCACCTCACACAAGTGCCCGCCCTTTGGTCTGTGATCCGGAGATGAGAGGATTGGGCAGGGATCACTCAGGCAGTCAAATATTCAGCTCGAGCATGCTGCTTCTGCCCTCTGTGCCCCGCCCCCTTCTCCCTTTTTTGAACCGTTTTAACTGAGACGTCACCGTGAACAGGTCTATTCTCAAGCTTGGGCCCTTATTTTCCAGGCAAGTGAATTATTTGTTATGTTTGAAGGTTCCTTGAAACACGCGTAGTTATTCAAATAAACTTTTTTGAATGTGTTGCTGCATGGCTTAGATATTGAGGCACTAAACACAGAGTATCCGACACCGATAGACACCTAGAAACATTTTCAGTAGCGGAATAGCGGTTATTCGGTCGTAGAGCGTGCAAACACCAGCGGTCATTTGGTGTCCATTACGGGGACAGAAGCCCATATTAGCTCTTACAGAACCCACGCTAGAGTTCGGAACATTAAGCCGCTTGTACTGACCGAGTGTGGCAAACATGGCGACCTGTACTGGGCGGATGCGGCGGACAGAGCGGGCCTCACTGACCGCGTACGACGGACAGAGCGGGCCTCACTGACCGCGTACGACAGACAGAACAGGCTGCAATGACCGCGTACGACAGACAGAGCGGGCTTTACTGACCGAATGCGTCAGACGGAGCGGGCCTCACCGACCGCGTAGGCAGACAGGGCGGGCTGTACTGACCGCGTGCAACGGACGGAACGGGCTGCACGGACCGCGTGTGGCAAATCGGGCGGGCCGTTCTCACCGAGCACGGCAGACACTGACCGGGTGCGGCGGACGTAGCGGGTTGTGCTGACTGGGCACAGTACACAGAGTGAGCAGTACTGACCGAGCGCGCGGCTGAAGTCGGCCAGCATGCCGCTGATGGACGGGCCCTGACTGGCGCTGCTGGCCGGCGGCCGGCCGGCGCTGTTCATCATGTGCTGCGGCGCCTGCGTCAGCATGCCCGGCGCCATGGTGACTGGCGGGTAGGTCGGCAGTGCTTGGCCCGCCATGGTCGCCGCCTGGCCGGCCGGGTATGGTGACCCCATGCTGTGCGCCGCATCGGCCACGCCCTGGGCCCGCTGGTAGGGGCCCAGCTGCAGCTGCTGCGGCTGCTGGGCGGCAAACTGCGGTCCCAGCGGCTGCGGCGGCCGACCGGCCGTCGACGCTTGAAAGCCCTGGGAAAGGTGAGGCGGCGGGTTGGTTGCTGACCTTGGTGGCTGGCTGGCTCGGCAGTGCTTTGATGCAGAGGCGAATTAATCACGGAAGATACTTGGATCGCTCTGGAGAAACTAGTTTCCACAGTTTGTCCAAAACACGTTTCAGTCATTTATTTCCGGTCTGGCTGGCTGGCTACACTGGGCGTCCATCATTTTCTTTACTACTCCGTGAATTATCACTGCAGTGTTTGCATTTATCTTAACTGGATAATTGTGGTTGCAGTTCGGCTGAGTGGAATATGAAAACCTTGTCCCGCTAAACACAACACACGCACGCGTAAACGCACACACACAAGGTATCTGGTCAGCATATTGTCTGTCGTCATCCCATGCTCAGCAAGGAATTCCAGTACAGAGCTGCGTGCGTTTTGATCTGGGCTACGCATGACCTTGTTGGTTCTTTACATGATCACAATTTTGGCAGTCGTTACCTATTGAATCAAAGCTTTATGAAAATGCTCTGCATGGCGTTACACCTTGCTTTGTGCACATTGCCACGTTCAGAGTGTCAACAGCGGTCACTGGGATCACGAGGGGGAAAGATTCATGAAGAACATCACGGAACAACAGTCTTTAATATTGTACATTGCTACGTTCAGAGAATCAACAGCTGTCACTGGGATCACGAGGGGGGGTGGAAGATTCATGAGGAACATCACAGAACAGCAGTCTTTAATCTTGTACATTGCCACGTTCAGAGTATCAACACCTGTCACTGGGATCACGAGTGGGGAAAATTCATGAAGAACATCACGGAACAACACTCTTTAATCTTGTACATTGCCACGTTCAGAGTGTCGACAGCTGCCACTGGAATCACGAGGTGGGAAGATTCATGAAGAACATTACGGAACAACAGTCTTTAATGTTGCACATGGCTGGGAGCATGCCACGTTTTCTGAACTTTTTACTCATAGATCAGATACGACTGATTTGGGCCATAACAGGGATGTAGTGTCCTATCAAGTTGGGATGGGAGGCTTCAGATCAGAGAGTCACTTCTAAGGAGAAACTCCTTTGTTGGCATGCTTTGGGGTGGGTTAGGTAATGTTTCACTGTTCATTTCCCCCCTCACCAGCTCATTTTTGTAAACTACGCCCCTGGTCGATACACCAGTTTTTTCAATCTTTTGAATTAGTCAACATTGTCATTTGAAGTACCTGCTGCACTGGAGAAATGCCGTCGGACTCCTATCTCACCACTCAGAAAGCCATATTCTTCATTCGCATTGATTTGCCCAATATGCGTGCTCAGTAAGATCGCTTAACTGCGTACGCCGTTCGCCGTGTCACTTACGGTTAATTTCTACTGGCGTCAGTCACATTCCAAAATGGCGTCAGTCACATTCCAAAATGGCGTCAGTCACATTCCAAAATGGCGGAGAAAACTCTCACCACCATACGTTTTGTTAACCAACGGCCTGATCGCTGGTGCTCGCGGGCAGGTTTTGTGCTTATTATGCTCGTTTTTATGTCAGTTTTGAATCAAATCGACACGAACAAATCGTTTTCGACGTTTCTTAAACAAAAAGGAAAACAAATCGTCGTGCACAGATCTGTAGGGAAGGCTGTGTGTAGCGCGGATCGTTGCTGCATCGCTACGCCTTTGCCTGCCTGCAACGAGTGACGATTCGAATTTTTACACTAAATAAAGGCCCAGCGCTGCGACCAGGGACCAATGATATATGAAATGAAGCAGAGATAAAATCTGACAAACAAAAACAGGTATGTCACAGAAGCTCCTGCCTGTCTCAGTGAACACCACAGAGCATAATCAGAAAGAACTAGACCACAATGGTTCACCCAGTCTACCGATTCTCTGATTACCTCGAACCAAATTATGCCTGTCAAATTGTGGGTTAGATGGTATCATAAATAAGATAATAAATATAATCAAAATAAGATATTTCGCAAAGCATGTTTTGCGGTGTAACCATCGGCGACTCGACCAGCCCTTGGTGCTGGGCTGCGCATGCGGCATTAGGGCGGCGTGTGGACGACGTACGAATAAATAGGGTAATTCTCCACCGCTAGTGCATCGTGTGTTTGCAGAGATGGGAAACGGCTTGTTACTGCTATGTTGCTCCGTTTGTTGTTACATATTCATTATCATATATTGTTTTCGCCATGTGCTCCTTTTAACACAATGACTTCTGGATGTTTTTGGTGCTTGCCAAAATATCCTGGAATACTAAAACCCAATTTCTGCCGTTGATGAATCCACACTGTCAGCATCAGTATTGCAGATAACGATCGCCATCATCAATTCCAATGCTTGCGCCACCTTAGCAAATGTGTCTGCCCCTGGCGTGAACAGAGATCTGCACATCCTCTGAATAGGCACTACAAGTCTTCGCCTGACGTCGGTAGACCACTAGGCTATCATGTGTCAAGAAGCCCGTTCCTACGACAGCCATGAGGTCCGAGGCTAGCTCATGATTAAATATCACGCCACCGGACTTCCGACCGTTTTATGATCCCATGCACAAGGCGCTGACAAGTCATTGCCCAGATACCGTCTCTGACAGCCGCCATGTCCCGAGAGGCCGACTCCGATGGCAGCTTAATGTCCAGGGACCAGCTCCGACCACAGGCATGTGTCGCACTCCACTCCGACTGCTACTATGTTTCAATAGGCCGGCTCCGATGGCAGCTTAATGTCCAGGGACCAGCTCCGCCCACAGGCATGTCGCACTCCACTCCGACTGCTGCTATGTTTCAATAGGCCGGCTCCGATGGCAGCTTAATATCCAGGGACCAGCTCCGACCACAGGCATGTTTCGCACTCCACTCCGACTGCTGCTATGTTTCAATAGGCCGGCTCCGATGGCAGCTTAATGTCCAGGGACCAGCTCCGACCACAGGCATGTGTCGCACTCCACTCCGACTGCTGCTATGTTTCAATAGGCCGGCTCCGATGGCAGCTTAATATCCAGGGACCAGCTCCGACCACAGGCATGTGTCGCACTCCACTCCGACTGCTGCTATGTTTCAATAGGCCGGATCCGATGGCAGCTTAATATCCAGGGACCAGCTCCGACCACAGGCATGTGTCGCACTCCATTCCGACTGTTGCTATGTTTCAATAGGCCGGATCCGATGGCAGCTTAATATCCAGGGACCAGCTCCGACCACAGGCATGTGTCGCACTCCACTCCGACTGCTGCTATGTTTCAATAGGCCGACTCCGATGGCAGCTTAATGTCCAGGGACCAGCTCCGACAACAGGCATGTGTCGCACTCCACTCCGACTGCTGCTATGTTTCAATAGGCCGGCTCTGGTCGCTGTCGCGTGCCTGTAGGTCGACTCTGGTCGCTGTCGCACGCCCTTATGTCGGCTTTGTGCTCAGCGTTATGCTTGCCACCTCCGACTGCAGTTTCGTAATCCCAGAGCAGCTCCTACTGCGTGTATGCACCTGGAGGCTGGCGCCAACCAGAGGGCAGCTCTTACTGCATGCATGCACCTGGAGGCTGGGGCCAACCAGAAAGTAGCTCCTACTGCATGCATGCACCTGGATGCTGACGCCAACCCGAGAGCAGCTCCTACTGCATGTGTGCGCCTGGAGGCTGGCGCCAACCAGAGAGTGGCTGCAACTGCATGTGTGCGCCAGGAGGCTGGCGTCAACCAGAGAGTAGCTTCTACTGCTTGTGTACGCCTGGAGGCTGGCGTCAACCAGAGAGTAGCTTCTACTGCATGTGTGCGCCTGGAGGCTGGCGTCAACCCGAGAGCAGCTCCTACTGCATGTGTGCGCCTGGAGGCTGGTGCCAACCAGAGAGCAGCTCCTACTGCATGTGTACACATGGAGGCCGGTGCCAACCAGAGAGTAGCTTCTACTGCATGTGTGCGAATGGAGGATGCCACCAACCAGAGGCACGCAACCAGAGAGCGGCAGCGTGCAGTCGCAGAGACCAGGGCTGTACTCCACAATCGCAGAGATATGTGCGAGACCTCCCGGACCGCAACCATCTGCTCTCGAGCTGGCTCCGAGCGCCGCCGATCTCAAGAGAGCACGGTCCCGTCGGCCGCCGATCTCAAGAGAGCACGGTCCCATCGGCCGCCGATCTCAAGAGAGCACGGTCCCGTCGGCCGCCGATCTCAAGAGACCACGGTCCCGTCGGCCGCCGATCTCAAGAGAGCACGGTCCCATCGGCCGCCGATCTCAAGAGAGCACCGTCCCGTCGGCCGCCGATCTCAAGAGAGCACGGTCCCGCCGGCCGCCGATTTCAAGAGAGCACGGTTCCGTCGGCCGCCGATCTCAAGAGAGCACGGTCCCGTCGGCCGCCGATCTCAAGAGAGCACGGTTCCGTCGGCCGCCGATCTCAAGAGAGCACGGTCCCGTCGGCCGCCGATCTCAAGAGAGCACGGTCCCATCGGCCGCCGATCTCAAGAGAGCACCGTCCCGTCGGCTGCCGATTTATGGCGGTTAATATCGCGGCTCCCGGACCGGAGGACGAATTACCGCGACGTAAGTCCGGGCTGATTCGGCGCGCGCCGACCCGATCCCTAGCCAGCCATTCGGCGGCCACCTCCGCCGCCGCGCAATATCGGGCCTCAATAGATGTCATTTAACGACGAAATAAAGGAGTGTGAAAGTTCGAGGTGAAACATGAAATGGTGCTTGGTACGACGCAGTAGATGGAGATTCTGAAATGGTTCATGTGGTGCGATCGGAATTTTGAGCTGGGGTGTTTTCCAAAAGATGGTTCTGGTTCAATCTTAAGTAGCAGCATGCGTAGAGCTATATTTCTGGCAAGGTTTAAGTCTTTTCTTGCTGGCCCAGGTTCGAAAGCCGTGAGAAAAAGTCATTGCAGCGCGTCTATTGCCCTGAGTTTGATACCAACGAAAACTTTTTAAAAAAATTAAGACAGTAGTATTAGCCTTTTTCGGCGGAAAAACAACAAGAATGGAGATATGGTTAGGTTGATATTTCGGCGACATTCCTGTATCAAAACAATAGCAGAAGATATTGTTGTTGATTGACTTCTGCTATTGTTTCGATAAAGGCATGTTGCCAAAATATCAACCTAATTACATCTCTATTCTCCTGGTTTCTCCGAGGAATAAGGCCAATACTACTGTCTTATCAATGTGAATAATGCTCCTCGCTAATGCCCCAAACAACCAACGAAAACTTATCTTACGTATCCGTATGTATAGCATGTTACATATAGCTATAAATAGCACATCTATAGTGAACTTCATGACAAAGCGGAATAAGTGACACTACGAACTCTACAGACACAGGAACGATACAAAGTTGCAGTTCCCAAATGACGTGATAACATCAGATACTTCTTGACACAAGCGATGCAGCAATGATCCATCGAAGTAAGTAAGTGCATAGGTCATCAGCGGAACAGTTGATGTTTAAGCAAATCACCTGGCTTAAGCTGAGCAGAATGGAAAATGAAAATCCTATTGCACCTGCCGCCATACGTTTTGAGACTTTGCCGCATGGTTGTGAAATTTCCCCTGCAACTATTTGTGTGTATGGGCACTTGCAAAATTGCAAAATAACCATGAGCAACGTTTTAATTTTTACTGACGCTTGACAGGAAAGAAACGGTTGGCAGAATAGCACGACGCAACAAGGACACTAGTACAAGACAGAATGACAGCAAGAAAGTGGCGTTTAAGTCGCCCATGGGTCATTCCGAAACAATTGTAAACAGATTATCATTGTCGATCCGGATGGCGTGACCCCCGATCGCACGTTAAGCAATCAACGATGGCCACTGCCGTTGAATGCCGGTTGAGAGGCGGCCTTACCACCGTGATTTGATGCGGATCAGACCAAATGTAGCGCCAATGAACAAGCCATCGCACGCCCACACTGTCCCAAAAGCCCTCCGCTGTCCCAAACGCTCTCAGCTGATCCGAGCGCCCCCGCTGTCCCGAACACTCTCCGCTGTCTCGAACGCCTTACGCCGTTCCAGACGCTCTCCGCTGTCTAAAACGGCTGTCCCGAACGCTCTCCGCTGTCCTGAACGTTCTCTGCTGTCTCGAACGTCCCAAACGCTCTCCGCTGTCCCAAATGGCTGTCCCGAACGCCCTCTAATGTCCTGAACACCCTCTGCTGTCTCGAACGTCCCGAACGTCCCGAACGCCCTCCGCTGTCCCGAACGCCTCTGTTGTCCCCAACGCCCTCCGCTGGACGTCAAACCTCACCTGAACATTTCGGTTAAGCATATTCTCGTTTTGCTGAGCGTGCGACAGCTGCTGCCTCTGGAGCTGCTGTCCGCTGTTGCCGAGCTGGTGGTGCGTGGGTCCGTTGAGAGGCGCGCTGGGTCCGAACGCAGAGCCAGCGTGTGGCGTCTGCCCCGGGTAGCCCTGAGACGGCTCGGGGTACGGGTACCCCTGAGCCGCGCCAGGGTACGCGGCAGTCGGACCGGAGAAGGGCTGAGATGCCGCAGCGAACCCGTCCGCGGCGGCCATCGGGTGGCCCTGCTGGTTTGGAGGGTAGCTCTGCGAGCTGGCCTGGTGGTCTTGAGAGGCAGTGGGGTAGCCTTGCGAGGCGGTGGGGTAGCCCTGCGAGGCGGCGGGATAGCCCTGCGAGGTGGCCGAGTACCCCTGAGAGGTGGCCGGGAACGCCTGTGTGGCGTGCACGTTCCCCTGAGAGGCAGTGGGGAGGCTGGAGGTCGGCGGGTTGAAGGCGGCTGACGCAGCAGGGTAGCCCTGGCTGGCGGCCGGGTAACCCTGGCCGACAGTTGGGTAGCCCTGACTGGTGGCCGGGTAGCCCTGACTGGTGGATGGGTACCCCTGGCTGGCGTTCGGGTAACCCTGGCTGGCAGACGGTGGGTAGCCCTGCGCGGCGGGCGCCGCTGGGTAGCCGGCCGCCGAGCCCGGATACCCGGCCTGGCCGGCCATCGGCGGGTTGACCCCGGCCTCCTGATAGCCGCGGCTGCCGGTCGCCGGCAGAGCCTGCGTGCCGGCCGGGAAGCCTTGCAAGCCCGGCGGCGCCGCAGCCGGCCCGTGGCCGGCGGCCAGCGGGGGCCGCGGCGAGGCCGGCCCGGCGCGCGCCGGGCCGCCCAGTTGCGGCGTGACCGGCGCGAACGCCGACGGCTGCGGCCCGTGTAGCGGCGGCCGCGGCGCGCCGCCCGAGAACGGCCCCTGCGCCGGCGGCACGGGGCTGGGCAGCCGCGGGCTGAACTGGCCGCCCGGCCCGGCCTGGCCCGGCCCGAATGCGCCGCCCGTGCCCGCCAGGCCGAACTGAAAGGACGGAGCGTGGCGTCAGTGGCGGGGAGGCAGCGGGGTCTCCGGCAGGCCCGCTGTGTGCGGGCAGTAAACTCGCCACTTTGCCCCCGTGAGGTGGCAGGACGGGCGTGCTCCACGCCGCTCTCCGTTCGTGGTACGACGTCGTTAGGGAATAGCTCGGTGCGAGAGGACTCGGATTCGCGGGACCTGAGGAGACTTCCGCCAACCGCCGCACTCATGGAGATCGACCAGCTTTCCAGTAATGGCGCTCTCACACCTATATACTTAACGTCTCCAGCAGTTGAACACTGGGCCCGGTTCGACGAAGCAATTCGGCCGAGAACCTTTCTCCTGCAAACGGAATGCATAGGAACATCCTTCACTTCCAAGTAATGGCACGCAGCAACCCTTCTCAGCAGCGTCGTGGAAACATCCAGTGCGTGTGCGAGGTGCGAACAACCATGCAGCGACTACGCACCACAGGTTTACCCTGGGATGGACAAGACGTCTCGGAGCACAGGCATCTTCTAAAGGGAATGGCGACAGAGAGGAACACCAAGCTGCAGTGGCTGCCTACGTCTAACATCGACGTGGGTCACGGTCCAGCGATGTGAGAGGCGCCAACCCGGGGCGTCCAGGAGCGGGACCGACCGCGCCGCCGGTCGCGCCGCGCTCCGTCCGGAGGCCAGGCGGCTGGGGACATGCACGTGCCGCCTGAGGACGGAGCGGCGGTCACGGCGCGGAGCCAGCCGTTGTCCCGGTGATGTGCGACAACAGGCGGCCCGCCGGAGCCCTGATCCGGAGCACGGCCGCGCCCCCACCTGATCAATACGCCGTGCGCTGAACAGCGCCCGGCGCCGGTGCCGGTGGCGACGGCGGCGGCGGCTCCGGCGGCGCGCTGACGACTCCGCCGGGACGCTGCGGCGCCCTCCGGAGCCGCCGGCGCCCCGCGGGCCGCCGCCGCCAGAGATGGGGGCGGCGCGCCGCCGGCCGCCGCCGCGGCCGGGTCGATAGGCGGCCGCGGTCGGCTGCAGCGCGCCTCGCCAGCTCCGGAGCTCTCCGACCCCCGCCCGGTTGCCATGGCTCACAGCTGGCGTCACTCAGCCGCCGCTGTGGCCAGCGCGGCTGCCGTGCGGCTCCCCTACATGCTCGTCACGATCGAGCTGATCAGATCGCGTCATAAAGCACGTGAAATAGGACTTGCGAGAAGGAGTTGTTTATGCTGTCAGATCGCGTCATAAAGCACGTGAAATAGGACTTGCGAGAAGGAGTTTTTTATGCTGTTAGAAGGCACCAGATAGACTTCAGGCTTCATTGATGATCTTGCATCAGTTAGCGCTTAACCAATGCTGAGTGAGAATGTAATGGCATGTAAGAGCATAGGTGTCATTGATCTTTTCAGGCGATGTCGCTCAGGTAATTAGCAGCAATGAATGCATCGTATGGGGCAGATAAATGACCTATTCGTTAAATCACGCGCAAATATCTTCATAGACTGTATACCTGGATGGCAGCCAGCACGCATCTTGAAATAGGCGCAATATGTGTTGTTCTCGGAACACTCAAACTTTGTAACGTTGTTGACACTTCTAGCTACTCGTGTTGTCAAGCTCGAGTGCAAGCGTCATTAAGGCTATACAAAATATCACCCAAATGTCGGTTTGAGTTACGTCCGAGTGTTGGCACGCACCACTGTCGTTACCGCCGAAAGTGTTGTTGCTCACCAGTCTGGTTGCACCCCGTGATTTAACCAATCAGGTTTCAGTCTGCGACTGCGCCCTGACATTGCAGACATGATATACAGCTGCATCAGAATATGTGAGGTGCGAGTGAAGGCAATTTCGAGCAAGGCTGTCAACGAATGCAGTTTCTAAGGAGGTTGTTTCTTAGGCAATTAACTAATTTAATTTACGATGGCAACAAATTCTGCTGACGTAGGGTCAGATTCGAGAGTCAAACAGAGGTCAAAACCAACCTGGCTTTTTACTCCAAAGCTTACTGTGTGGGGTAGTCTCTGGTGCTCATGTCGAATTTAGCAAGAACAGGGACTACAGCTGACGTCCTCCATGAACTTGTTTAAAGTTAGAATAGGTCACTGACCTGAAATGATCCAAGTTAACATTTGGTTTTTAGGACTTTACCTATTTGCGTAATTCTTCATGTTTATTTAAATGCAAAGATCCAAACAATCTTCTAGGATTTTGGTCACTATAACCTTCTAAAAGCCAAACAATGTCTAACCGTAAATTAACACCAGTCATCTTTTGCTTAGAACAGGTATCTAGGTGTCAGGTTGGTGTATGAGGACGTCTGGTAGCGCTTTGGACACTAATCTGAAGTTTTACTTTGTTTGGCTTTATTCAACCGAAAGGTAATGGCCTCGGAATTTCACATTTAGAATCAGTGAGTTTACATAGAGGACAATCCACCATGTAAATTTGGCGTTTCTAGCTCTCTTGCTTTTTGAGATCTCAGCGGGGGTTCAGACTGACCCACGCCGGAGCAAAGTGGAGTCAACCGGCTGCCCGGGCGCGTGTTGAGAGAGGAATGCTTGTATTCTGTGTCCGTACAAGTCTGAGCCACAATTATTTTTATGATATCATCATAATTTAGTGTGTAACGTGTTTTTACAACGCTGATGTCGTCACTGCGTGGTCGGAGCATATATTAATGCATTATGACGAACACTGCCCTCTAAAACCAGCTGGGAGGAAAATGAGGACGCCTGTTCTTTGCCAGCAAATTCCACAATATGGATATCAGCAGCTTGAATTTCGCAATACCACTAAAAGAGCACCATAACACGTTAAAGAGAATTAGTCTGACGAAGCTGTAGTAACCCGTGCTGTGCTAACTCGTGCTGTACTAACTCACCACACATCATCATTAACTCAAGTGACGCTGTGAGTGCCATTCTAGTCGCCGAATCAGTTGTGTTATTCGCCTTATCGCATTTATCTCGTTGTACAACCATTCCATGGTGCTAACGGGTTTAGTACGTCGCATGAAGCTGTTGCCACAGGTTCAGGTTACCCTGACCTCGTGCTATTTTGCGGCAGATCAATAGCTTGCTTTGCTGCCCTTGTCACGGCTTGCTAAAATGCGGTGAAAGTTAGGCTTTCACGTCAGAAAAAAACTGTTTTCAGGCTCATCTCAAGTTGTACTTGCGCAACCACACATCAACTGGTGTATTGTATCATTATTGATTACGCCGTGAACTACAGACAAATATAGGGCTGACATTGTAACGCGATATTAATGTTCATATCTGGAGGTCTCCGTGCTGTTATAGACATTTCGCCTACGGCTTAGCAATTTATGTCGGCATAAATCAATCACGTTCGATATTGCAGGCCATATGTGGCGTTAAGATATGCATACAGAGAGTGATTATCCGGTAAACGAAGAATACTTTCCACATATCTCGGGTTCAAGACATATTTTCAGCGTCGGATATGCGTAAAGGGTTGGACCAGAAGCCATAATAGTCAGCTTATAGATATATATATATATATATATATATATATATATATATAGATATGCATACATATAATATATATAATATACATTTGCTTTACAAATTTGGTGTAATCCAATAGTCAAGAATAGCTACCTACGCCGCTTCGAAAGTTCATTTAAATAGCTCCTAGCTATGTGATATGTTATGGCCACGTCAGATCATGTGTGACAGTAGTTTATTTTATCACAAATCATCACTGCATGAAAGAAATGCTTTCTTGAACTGCTGACAAGATTCTGAGAAATGCATACGCAATTTGGTTATATTTTCCCGACGTCCAATGTGATCGTGCCTGATATTGACCGTTGGTTTGATCTATGGCAAAAGTAATCCCATAATAAAAAAAGGTACGCTGTCTTATCAAAATTCCGATGAAACATCAAACGACTCGTATATGTGTCACTCCTCAACCTGTTTGGCCTCATCCAGCAAAGACCGCAATCGCCGTAAATCAGGTCCCTCAATGAAGAGCATGCATAAATGCAGGGTAAGAATATCGTGACAGCATATACGTAACTTGGTTACGCTATCTTTTTGAGGAGAAGCGATCGCGAGTTTGTCGGAACCCTTGCACATTACTCCTAACTCCTAACATAATTGGTGACCATAAGGTTCACTGCAAACGTGACCTGGTTTGTAGACTCCGGACCCACCTATTACCGTGCTGTAATCCTAAATAACTTGCACATGTACGAACGTCATGGAACGGCAGCGATTACGTCTTGTGGCAATCGACGACAGTCTCTTGATTACACCTGAGTACCACATCCGATACGCACGTACGTACGTATCTTAACCTACGTAGTAATATGACAACGCTTAGCAATTATGCTTCCCAATTCAATGCTTGCAATATTGGCTGCTCATTAACGTTTGCAATGTTCGCTGCAAGAAATTTACACATGAAGAAGTTCTGTTAACACGGTTTGTCCACCACCGGTCATATTCTTGCCGCACCACGTGGCCTATTGCTGGGATACTACAGGTAGTGATGCATTTCAACCAATCGCGCTTGGTCCACTGGCACTATGGTATAGCTTACAACACGGAAAATCCACCCATGCTCTACACTGCGAGACACATCATGCTGCAGCGCTCGCCATCTTCTTACGAAGCGGTGTGTCTGCTTTGGTTCCTAACAACTGGCAGACTTCAGGTCAGAGAAGCCCTCGGAACCCCACGACGAAAGCATCTGGCCTAAAAGCGTGAGGATGTGGCCGCGTTGGTACGGCTGCGGCCCACACCCAAATGATCCACGTAGCAGTCAGCATACTTAAGTATCACAAAGAACCCAGACGTTTGCTGGCACCGATCTTCATCCAAAAGAGGGTTGGTGTACTCACCCTGGCATAGACCTCTGCCTTCCAGTGGCGTTGTTCATTGGTGCGTGGACCATGTTGTCGTTTGGCCCAGTGGGGTTCGGCCTGTAAAACGGAGACGTTACGTACACTATCTCCGTCGCGCCAAACTTCCACTGGCCCGGTTTCCACAAGCGTTTGAAGCAATAGTCACCTCAGCAGTTGCACGCGTCGATAAATGACGAAAAGTGAAACAACCACATCGGCTGTTCAATCAGCCAAATTCAATCGTAATCATTGTCTCCGTAGCTCAGTTTGTAAAGTGCTGGACACCTGGCCCCCAGCGTGACAGACTATGTGAGTTCGCGTTCCAGACACCACCCTAGAGTATTCGCCAGCAACAGCCGACCGGTAACTTCCCAGTCCCCTTTTACTGGTATCAGTCTCACTGCGGTAAAAACTAGGGGGTCTTTACAGCAACTAAACTTTAAAAAAACTCCGGTCTCAAAGTCACACCCTCTTTATTCGCCCATATGAAAAAAACAGGTAAAGTATAGTCAGCGAAACTACATCAACCAGCAGCACTGTGGCGTATGACCTGCCCCGCTCGGCAGCTTCGCGAGCCAGCCAGGTGATGGGTCATGGACAAAAGAACGCCGTAATGCTGGGGTGCGACAGGTCCACACAATTTACGAAGGTAGTTCCAGTACTTTACGAAGGCCCATGGGCAGGGTGAAGCCATCACGTCACTGGAAGGTACGTTAGTAACACTAGTTCGTGTTTCGGTAGACTTTGGCATGTCCTAACCAAGAACATATACGCGGTAAGTAGGCTAGAGTAGAACTCAGTGTTTTTCTTCGCTCTCATGATCATGAGCCTTTTGTACCTCGCCGCAGTCTTGGTGGACGCGCAGATGAGCTGATTAAACCGGGCTGAAACCTCCGACGGAGAGGTGTTATGCTGTGCCGCATAGCTTTGCTGTAGGGCGGGCCAGCTTTCGTCTGACGCTCGGATCGACGGCCGTTTGGTGACGTCACAATGCTTTGATTTTGGCGGCGTCAGTTTTGACGCACCCTTCCTACTATTCCGTGCGTTACGCAAGTCACTCTTCCATAAAAGTGGCTTGTGCAACGGACAGTGAACATGTTACAATTCTCGATAGTGCGACATGGTCATATGACATACGTTGCCACAAGTATGTCACATCGGATACATGCCATGTCGGTTTCAGCTGTTGCCTATTCTGTTTTCCTCGTGATAACTATACTTAATGCGACTATTTTCCGGTGCACATTGGTGTCGAAACTCACAGGAGTGCGTCCTTAGCATCAGTACCATCAATATGGTGCGCCCAGATGAAGAGTAGGTCTCATAAATTTAAAATAAACGATATCCTCTTTCAGGCAAAGTCTCTCCAGTTCGTCCGCTGTAGCTGGTATGCGACGGTTCATGGTTAGGAGAGTTTTGAGTGGTTCTGAGCAGTGTGTTATACTCTATATGCCAGTTTGTTGGAAACCAGCGGACTGGGTAATGGAAGTTCGTAATAAGTTCACAGCCTTATAAAGCCATTCATTTCCTGATGTTGGTGTGCAGTATAGCCAGCGAATAAGGTAGTAATTCGTCCGGTATGAACTGTGACGTGAATAGTCTGCATTTGTTCGTTTTCACACCGCATTTAGTACGTTTTCCAGTACTTTTGTTCTGCCAATACCGCTGCCAGCCGATTTTTGGAACAATCGTGATGTTTTGAGCGCCTGACGTCTGTTCGCTGGCACACAACACGGCCGGTACAAGCGCGATACGTCCGATACTATCACTACGACCGCCTTATAGGTCACAGCCATTCGATGCTATCGACCCCTCCCCCCCCCCCCCCTCCCCCCTCCCCACCGATTCTGCGCCAGGAATGTACTTTCATGGGCACTGTCGAGCCATTGCACAAGTGAAATGAGACGACAAAAACAATCAGAGCTCGCGGATGGAGACGTGTTGTGTAAAAGGGTATCGTATTGCAGTGCTCATAAGTAATAAGCAACTGACTTGTTCGTATCATGTCCGATATCAACCAATTTCCTCTCCGTAAACGTATCCCAGGTAATGGACCTGCTCATTCACTTTTCAGAGCCCGAGGCCATCCGAACCACTTCGCAGAGACAGCGCAGCTCTGTGCTTCTTCCAGTCGCCACCGCATTCCATTGCCGAAGACCAGATACGACCCAGTGACGTGACAGTCACGTGACCCGCAGCTCTTAACTCCCACCACCGACGTACACAAAGACTACGTTCCACCATCGGTGGACAGAGGCCGCACTTCCTCGCACAGTGAACAGCAGAGACATATGTATTCCAGCAGACACAGAGCCATACTTTGTCCGGGCACACAGCACCGGAAAAGTATCCCGACGGACGCAGGGCATCACTCAAGCGCTACGTGCTCTGAGCTATCCTGAGCTCTACGTCCTGCCCCGGCGGATGGGGAGGCAGACTCTCTCCTGATGTACAGTACATGGAGCCATACTCTGTTCTCATAAACAACCCATAGTCACACTCTGTTACGAGACACGAGCACGCGCTCTGTACTGATGGATGACAAAGAGCCACACCCTGCTTCGAACGACAAAAGCTAAACTCTGTCCTGAAGGAAAATACAGGGCAGCACTGTAACGACAAGACAGAGCCACCTCCTGCTGTGACTGAGGATTAAGATTCGCAGGATGAAAATGGACTAGAATAGATTGGAGTTCCGTAAAACGTTGGATCTTAAGAACCAGGATTCCAACACCGAAAATCAGGATTCAAATTTCAAAAATCAACAAGCCGTCAAAACTCTTTTTAAAGACATGATTAGAAATATCCAATAATATGCATGCTCACATGTTCTTCGGGGAATTAAATGGAACACGTAAATGCTGGTGCTGCAACAGACTTAGTCACCTGTACTCGTTTTTATCCCATTATATTAGTTAGAGGTTTCCATACAAGGATTCGAATATTTCCAAATGTATTCGCTTCAACCCGAAACCAAGTCCACTCAAAGTTTTACGTAAAGATTGAGACGAGGTATTAGCGTCATGGACGGAATTATGCTTCGGACTCATATCCTCGTCTGGTGTAAATAATTAAGGGAAAAATGGTAATCCAAACAATTGACCCCTCTGCCAGTTCACCTACCCAGGGATTTAAATCCCAAAATGCTGAGAATCTCCAGCTCCACACCCCGTCCGCGGCGGGCACATAGGCACACTGCGTTCATCCGCAAGCAAAGTCACACTCTGTCCTGGTGGACAGCACAGAGCCACACTCTGTATCGGTCTCTGCTGACACGCCATCACTCTGCTGACAGACAACACAGAACCGCCCTCAGCCCTGGTGGACGCCGTTCAGAGCCCAAATCCGTCTCGATAAACAGCACAGAGCTGCCCTCTACCCTGATGGGAAAGTCACACTGCCCCCGCGGACAAGGAATCGACACATTCTCTACACCGCCCCAGCGGACTTTGAGCCGGCCACGCCCACTCACAGCAGCTTTGAGAAGAGTGCCTTCATGTTGCCGTCTCGCCTGTCATGCCGCTCCGGGCCACCTCCGACTCAGCACTGCCGGCCGTCGGCACCGGTGCGCCCGCCTCCAACCGCCGCGGCGCGCCCCCGACCGACGATGCCCGCAGTGCGCCCCCCCCCCTCCACCATGCCCCGCCCGCCGGCCGCCCGACCTGGTCCGGCTGGCGGGGCGGCGACGGACGGACCTTCACCCCACGCCTCATTAACAGGCAGCTGGTGGAGGCGGCGAGGCGCGTGCTTCGGATGGTCACCGTCAGCGCCTGCGGCCCGGGATCGATGGTGACCGGACGTGAACGCTGCTCGGCCGGTGTCGCGTCGCTGGACCGGCGGCGTCGTGTCACCGGCCTGGCCCGCCATGCGGCGTCCGTCTTGGCCGGCGGCCGAGGCGCTCGGTGGTCCCGCCCCGGGCCGGTGGCGGCGGCGGCCTCGGCCCTGCCCGGCACGGCCCGCTCCACCGCTGCAGGGGGCGCCGGCCGCGCCGGCCGCCGGCCCGCAATCAATAACGCCGCCCGGCCGCCCGGCACCGCCCGCCCGGACGCATTCCAGGACGACCCGCGGACCTGCTGGCCCGGCCAAGCTTGCCTCGGCCCGGCCCGGCTCCACGGCCCGAGCAACTGATGGAAACCAGTGAGGGGGCCGCTTGCTAAATCTGTTGGGGGAAGCTGTGCCGGTGAAATTAATATAACCTATCCCCAAATCCTGACTTTTACCAGGATTTTGGCCACATTGATTTGTGTTCTCTGTGTCAAAATTAACAATTGCGTTTAATATTTGGTCGATTCCAAGATGGCTTTGATGCTGAGGAATCAAATCCAGTTCGAAGTCGATGGGAAGCTGTATTTAAAAAGAATCGGCGAAAAATGTAAAAGAATCTCAGAATGGAGTGAAATTCAAAGAAACATAGTAAATTCAATCGCTACGATCAGCGAAAATAAACGCGTTTCTTTCATCGGTGGCGGCCCGACCCGCAAAAAGACGGTTAAATGCAGTCTGGCGTGACTTTACATGCACAAACGAAAGGCTGTCACAAAAAATCGTGAACTCTGTCAGGATGAGCCGATGTAAAAAAAAATAATAGTAAGCTGTCGACCTTCCCATTAGACATGTCATAATTGGAAGGAAATGGGGGTAAAGGTTGGTGACTGCACGGTCACCGTAGTGAACATTCTATGAAGTAGCATGACAAATGCGTGTCGTAAACTGTACAAGTACTTGCTTAAACAACTTAATTGCAATTACGGCCGCATTGCTTGATTGCAATTCATTGTTCAAGACCTTTCTTAAGGAAGACCTTCAACTCCTGCTGCTTCGGTGCTATGAGTTCAGAGTTTCCATGAAGGAGATAAGCAACCTTCAGTATACCAGGAGTTTGTGGTTAAACGGCGTTATCAACAAAGCATTCGCTATCTTGGGAAAACCCGACACTTGAAAGCTCTGGTCATCGTCAGATTTTTTTAGGAAAAGTCAGTGAAGATGACCCCAATATTTCTTTTGCCATTTTTGTAGGGAACATTTTCGTACCCAATTCTAGACATTCAAAACGCTTTCACTGTTTAGTCCTGCCACCC